GTCAAAATTGCAGATAGGTCTCTTGCTCCTATTGTGGGGAAAGGGAGTATTCATATCTCTGAATCTATCACTCTAGAATATGTTCTTCTTGTACCAAAATTAGCTTTCAATTTATTGTCTGTTAGCCAACTAACAAAGCAATCTAAATGTTGTGCTAATTTTCTTTCAACCCATTGTGTCTTTCAGGATCTATCATTGGGTATGACAATTGGACGTGTTAAAGAGTACGAGGGACTCTACTTCCTTGAGAATGCTAGAGTGAGTCACCATCAACCCATTAATGTATATAACTCTATATCAACCTCTAAAGATACAAATATTCTGTTATGGCACAATAGCATGGGGCATCCTAATTTTCATTATTTATCTCGTTTGTTCCCAAACCTTTGCCCTACCAACCATGATGTCAAATGTAAAGTGTGTGAATTGGCAAAGCACCAATGAACATCATTTCCTAGAACACCGTATACACCCACCAAACCATTTGTTACCATACATAGTGATCTATGGGGTCCATCTCGTATCCCAAATCATACCAAATCAAAATGGTTCATTACCTTCATTGATGATCATACTCGTGTTTGTTAGGTGTATCTCCTAAAAGATAAGTCTAAGACTGCATCCACATTTATCAATTTCTTTACCATGATAAAAACCCAATTCAACACAAATATCCAAGTTCTACATACCAATAATGGTGCTGAATATTTTAACCAAGTCTTGAGTACCTTTCTTCACAAGCATGGCATTGTCCATTGAAGCACTTGTGCCCATACACCCCAACAAAATGGGATTGCAGAAAGGAAAAATAGACATATTCTTGAAGTGGCTAGGGCCCTTATGTTCACCCATAATGTCCCAAAGTTTTATTGGGGGGATGCCATCTTAACTGCAACTTATCTCATCAATCGAATGCCCAGTCGTATTTTATCTTTTGATACTCCTCTTCAAAAATTGCAAAGTATTTTCTCCACATCTCATATTAAAACCAACATCCCTCTTCATGTCTTGGGTGCACAACCTTTGTTCACATCTATCAATCTAGTAAACTTAGACCTCGTGCTACAAAATGCATATTTCTTGGTTATTCCCCTACTCAAAAGGGATACAAATATTTTGATCCTATTTCCAAACACATGTTTGTAAGCCTTGATGTTACTTTTCATGAAGATATGCCCTTTTACCCCAATTCTTCAATTCAAGGGAGAGTATAGGTGAATCTCAGACTTGGGAACAAGAGATTAACAAAGAACAAGTGCTTCCTTATTCTTGGTCCATACCAGCAGAGTCATTACCATCTCCATTACTAGAACCATCACTCTCATCCGAACCCTTACCACCATCACCATCTCTTGTGCCAGTCACAGAAGATAATTCAACATCAGGAGGAGATATAGAGAGGCAAAAAGACAAAGACTTGTTGGTTTATTCTCAAAAGCATAAATTCAAGGAAGGAGAGCAACTTGTATTTGAAGCACCAAAGGAGTTAGAACTAGTGGTAGCTCCTGAATCACCTTATCAAAGTCTTGAATAGGTGAGTGTTCAATCTGATCTTGATTTACCCATTGCTCTCAGAAAACAACCTTGCTCTTGTACTTTGCACCCAATACAAAAGCACATATCCTACAAGGCTCTTTCTCCAAGTTATCGTGCTTTTGTCACTAGTCTAGATAAAGTTGTTGTTCCCAACAATATTGAAGAGGCATTAGAAATACCAGAATGGAGAAATGCAGTCATGGAGGAAATGAGAGCCCTAAAGAAGAATGGAACATGAGAGATTGTTCAGAGGCCAAGTGGCAAGAAGCTTGTAAGCTGCAAGTGGATTTTCACCCCAAAGTATAAGGCTAATGGAACTCTTGACAAGTTAAAAGCACGCTTGGTAGCAAGAGGGTTTACTTAGACATATGGTATCGACTACAAAGAGACTTTTGCACCAGTGGCAAAATTAAACACCATTAGAGTTCTCTTATCTGTAGTAGCTAATCTAGAATGGCCACTCCATCAGCTTGACATCAAGAATGCTTTCCTAAATAGAGAACTAAAAGAAGAAGTTTACATGACTCTACCACCAGGATTTGATAGAGGCAGAGGTGATCAAGTATGCAGATTGAAGAAATCTCTATATGGCCTAAAGCAGTCTCCTAGGGCATGGTTTGATAGATTCTCAAAAGTCCTCAAGTGAGAAGGCTATAAGTAGGACAGACCATACAATGTTTGTTAAAGTTGAGGGAGGTAAAAGGTGTATCCTTATTGTATATGTTGATGACATTATTCTTACAGGAGATTATCTTAAGGAAATCACAAGAGTAAAGGTTCTTCTAGGCAAAGAATTCGAGGTAAAAGCCTTGGTGCCTTGAAATACTTCCTTGGGATGGAAGTTGCAAGGTCAAGGAAAGGTATTTATGTATCTCAGAGGAAGTATATACTTGATCTTCTGAAGGAAACAAGTATGTTAGGTTGTAGGCCAGTTGAAACCCCTATTATGGTTTCCAAGAAAAAGAAGCCTAAGAAGAATAAGGAAGAGTCAAAAGAAGAAGAAGATTCTTATGATGAGATTGAAGAAGAAGACAATGAGAATGAAGAGGCCACTAATAAAGAGAGATATCAGAGGCTTATTGGGAAGTTGATTTACCTTTCCCATACAAGACTGGATATTTCCTTTGCAATAAGTATGGCTAGCCAATACATGTCTGAACCAAAGAAGAAGCATATGGAAGTAGTCTATAGGATCTTGAGATATTTAAAGGGTACTACTGGTAGAGGGTTATTCTTCCAAAAACAAGAATAGAGAACCATAGAGGTCTACACAGATGCAGATTGGGGAGGAACTCATCTTGATAGAAGATTAACTTCTAGTTATTGTTCCTTTATTGGGGGAAACCTGGAAGAGTCAAAAGCAAAAGGTTGTTTCTAAGAGAGTATTGAGTTCGAGTTAAGAGCTTTGGCTCAAGGAATAATGGAAGAGTTATAGCTAAAACGAATCCTGAAAGAGATACATGTCGAAGTGAACTCACCATTAAAACTTTATTGTGACAATAAGGCAGCTATAAGCATGGCCTTAAATCCTGTTCAACATGAGAAATCAAAACATGTAGAGGTGGATAGACATTGCATCAAAGAAAAAGTGGAAGATGGAATTATATGTTTGATTTATTTACCTATAAACCTTCAAGTTGCAGATGTTTTAACGAAGGGATTACATAAGCCTGCATCTAAAAGTTGCATAAGCAAGTTGGACATGATTAACATCTATGATCCAACTTGAGGGAGAGTGTGGAGATATTGTATTTATTGTAAATATTATTATCTGACTATTAGGAGTTAATAGGATTTATTAGAATTATTAGTATTTATTAGCCATTTATTTGCTTGTCTTCTAGCTCTGTGTATATATAGTCTTCTGTATCCTACTATTATGATCAATGAAAAATCATATTTCTCCTCTCAAAAATCCCACAGAGGTTTATATGGCTCTTCCTCCTAGTTTTTTTTCTCTATTACCCAATACTATTGGCAAACTTCAAAAATCTCTTTATGGTCTAAAGTAGGCTTGTCGCTAATGGTTTGCTAAATTTACAACCGCTCTTACTTCATTTGGTTATCTCTAGTCTAAAGCTGATTATTCTTTATTTATCAAGGAGACTGATTCTTCATTTATAGTGTTATTGGTTTATGTTGATGACATTATATTGGCTGGTAATGATTCTATTGAAATTGCCAATATTAAAAGTCTTCTTCATCAGTCTTTTAGAATCAAGGATTTAGGGGTCAGCTCTGTTATTTTCTTGGTTTGGAAATAGCTCGAATATCTTCTAGTATATCCATCTGCCAATAGAAATTTGCTTTAGACATTCTTTCTAATTGTGGTTATCATGCTTGCAAACCAACTTCTACCCCTATGGACAAGTCTACCAAGCTTTCTAAAGATGATGGCACTCTTATTGCTAATCCATTCACTTATTGGTGTCTCATTGGTTGTCTCTTCTATTTGACAACAACTCACCCCAACATTGCTTTTGTTGTCCAGTAATTATCTCAGTTTATGTATGATCCGCGTAGTACTCATCTACAAGCTACTCAACACATTCTTCATTATCTTAAGTCCTCTCCAGGAAAGGGCTTATTTTCTCCTGTTAACTCTAATCTCAAATTGAAGGCTTTCTTTGACTTTGATTAGGCTAGTTGTATTAATTCTTGTCGATCCATTACTGGCTTTTGTGTTTTTCTTAACGAAGCTTGGTTTCCTAGTGCTTGAAGAAATAGTCCATTGTTTCTCGTTCCTCTTCTGAAGCTAAATGTCAAGCTCTTGATTCTATGACTTATGAGTTACAATGGTTGCTCTTTTTGTTACAAGACCTTCATATCCTTCATCTTTCTCCTGCTCTCGTCTTTTGTGATAATCAATTTGCTATTCATATTGCCTCTAATCCTACTTTTCATGAGCGCACTAAGCATATAGAGCTAGATTGTCATCTTGTTCGTGATAAGCTTCAAGCTAGCATCATCCATTTGCTTCCTATTCACTCAAAGGATCAAATTGTTGCAATCTACATCAAGCCTCTTAGAGCTGGTCCCTTCAATAATCTCCTATACAAGTTGGGCATGTGTGACATACATTCTCCAGCTTGTGGGGCAATATTAGATTTTTGATAATATATATTATTATGTATAGTTATAGTTAGGGTGGTTATAACTTTTTAATTTTCTGTTATTATTTTATTCTTTGATATATCTTTTTCCTTTGTATAAATATATCTTATATTGGAATTAATAAGATAAATCACTATTTTCACAAATTGCATTAAAAAACATTCAAATCACATTACAAATGTGCTTTTGCCAAATTCAATAAATAGTTGGTTCCTCCAAATGTGTTTTTGCTATGTGTAAACTAAAAACTAAACACTTCCAAACTTTAACTACTTATATAATTAAGGAACATGAGTAGCTCGATCCTATGACTTACACAAACTTGAGCAATTGGTATGGATACTAATTAATTAATTCTGATTGAAAAAATCAATCATGGGCTCATAAACAACTTGTTTGGCATTAACGCCCATGACAAAATCAACATGAGCATATTCGTCTATGGAAAGTACAACAAGCTTGTCCTTGTTATGATCTTTGAGATCGTCAAGCAAAACGGCAACGTCGTTTACATCTGACAGCGTATCTTTCCCTCCATTGCTGAGGAAAAGAGGAAGGTCGTTTGGTATACTAGTCATGTCGTATACAGGAGGACTGGCTTGTCCATAGTGTTGCATGTTTTGTGCTTGATCTCCATAGTTGTACATCGCTATGTACCCTGTCCTCACCACTGCACAAACCCAAACCCAATAGGACTTATAAGTTTTATATCAATCACTTATCACATATTTATTTGGAAGAATAATATTAAAGTCTCAAAACAATAAGTTTATGATAGTTAGGTCCTGATAAAATTATCTATAAACCAGTTATAAATATTAATTTAGACAATTACAGATTCAGGAGTTTTAATTGCAAATAAGATACTTAAAATCTAAATATAACTCTCACTTTGTAATTATGATTCCTATTTATAACTATTTGAATCAATATTTATAACTTATTTTTTAAAATTTTTGTCGGGAATAACTATTATAAAGTCCCCATTGCTAGACTTTATTGTCATTCTCCATATTTATTTGTATTGTTAGTGTCTGGCTAACTTTTTCCTAAAATAAAAAACAACATAAAATAAGACAAAAAAAAAGAAGAAACAGACAAAAGAATAAAATAAAAAAATTAGAAGAATATTAATGTCTGATTACGTTTAAACTTTTTTACATTCCAATAGCAAAAACAATAAACAATTAAGTTATTCTATATTTTAAATAATATTTTTATATACATATCTCATTTTCAATACTATCAGTTAGATCCGAACATTTTTAGATCAATTGATAGTACGTAGCTTTTCTCAAAAAAAAAAAAAAGAATAAAAGAATATTAGATTTTCTCGTTTAGACCATAAGCATATTTTGCGGCTTACCCAAGCACATAAAAGACATACTTTTAAAAAATTATAATATCTTTTAATTAATTTATATTTATTATAAATTGTAACATTTTATAGAAAATTTAAGAAACTATTACCCATTGAATTCAAAGTCAACTAATAACCCTTCATCAGAGTATTCATTGAGTAAATCAATGATATTAATAATTACGTGCAACAATAATTCCTATAAAATATTATAATATAGAAAAAAATATATCCCAAAGATGATGCTATTTTGTACAAAAACGGTTTTTTTTTTAAAAAAAAAAATTGAACCGATTGAATCAGTAACTCAATTAAGTTTCCCTTTTTGGATCTGTTCGACTAATTTTTATTAGGTTCTCTTTTGGACCAATTTTATATAGTCTGTTTCAGGCTAGTCCTAGCAGTTGCACATTGATATTTACCAGTTGGATACAATTCTGATAATATGGGATTCAATTTGAATTTATAAAATGAAGAGAACATACTTTGAGCAAGGTGGATCAAGTTCTTGGTTGATGTTGGTTGAGGCTCATGATCAAGATAAACATCTATCCTCGTAGAATTAATGCAACAGTTTGGGCCTGAAATTCAATAATTAAGTGGTATAGAATGACCCAAAAAAAAAAAAAAATAATTGACACTTTCATAATCTATGTTTTTATCAACTAGCATGTTACACACACACACACGCAAACATTTTTAGTTTTACATTATAGTACCTGTGAAAACTGTCAGTAGGTTGGCGCAATTGATGCCTGGAATTTTGCAGATACCTTCTAAAAGTTTGGAAGCATCTTGCCTGTTCATCAAAAGAACAATATTATTATAATATTAGAATGATTGAAGCAAAATATTATGCATCATGTGTGGGTATGTGTGTGTGACTTCTAGAATGCAAGGGACAAGTAAAGAATATTAATAACTAAAGGTTAAGATCGTTTTTGCTCTTTAACTTTATTTGAAGGGTCATGAACATTCTAAATTTAGCTATGAATTAATTTTGTCCCTCAATATTAAAGATTCTCTTTCTTATCACTTGTCATTACCTCATCGTTCTTTTCACTATTAGTGAGTCTCACATTACATTTTTTTAATATTTTTTATTATAAAATATTGGGTTAAGGGTAATTTTTACCCCTCAATTTCACTTTGAAAGGTTACTGGCCGCTTTCAATTCAAATATTTTATAATAAAAATATTAAAAAAATGTAATGTGGAGCCCACTAATAATAAACATGTTGTGTTAATGGCAAGGTAGCAAGGGAGAGAATTTTTAATATTGAGAGATAAAATTGATTCATAATTGAGTTTAAGATATCTAATGATTCTTAGGTTTAGAAAGTGAAGGCAGTGACAGTATCGTAAGTAACGTTCAAGGTTGTTTAGACAGAGTCCTCGAGGAACTAGTTCTAAATATAGTTTCTAGACTGTTTGCCAATATACCTGGTCTAAAAAATATGTTTTTTAAATAAAAGGTTCAAATATTTTTGCTTTCTAAACCGGTTAGGTTTAGATATATACATTTTTAATCGGTTTGAAAGGTCTTTTTCACACTAATGGATAAAACAAAATAAACTCATTGGGTTATGAGTTTGTGTTAATTAAAGGTATATCACGTTTCCTTTTTTCTACCATGTCACTCATAAATTACATGCATAAATAACCTGTAAAGTTAACACTTCCCTTTTTTTGAAAAAAAAAAAAAATCGTACTTACTCTTTGAGATTAAACTCGCGAAGACCTAACCAGTACAGATCCTGTAATAAAGAACAGGGAAACGTTTTGAAGTTAATTTGCATTGTGTGCTGTCTGTGCACACACACACGCACACAATTCTCATAAGTAAATAAATAAATAAAGAAAAATATTCTGGGAATGAAGTTTGTTACATCAGCTAGAAAGATATTAGCCGCAAATTTGATAGCCGGTGAAGGAATCTGATTGAGATGAGCAATTGGACTAAGTAAAGCAGCAGATCTGATCATGTTTACCATCTCCCCTTCAGAGAATGCAGCTAATGCAATTAGAGTTCCCTGAATTTTCAATTTATATCAATAATATTATATCTAGTAATTAATGAGTAAATAATTAAAACCACATTGTTCACAACTTTTATATAGATCAATTTTCGTACCAAATCTGAGAAATTTTTTAAATATTTTTTAAAAATCATAAATTAAAATTTTAAATTTGGAGAATCCAAATCTAAGTTTGATAATAAATGTTAAATGACAAATTTTTCATTAAATTATAGGTACAGGAGTGTTTGAAATTTATTTTTTGGTGTAATGTTCTCCTAATATTTTAAAATGATGCAATATTGCTTTTATTACTAACAAATGTTTACTTTAACCATTAATTGACTAAAAAATTATAGAAAATGCCTTAAAGATTACATAAAAGGACCCAATAAGAAAAACTAATAACTTTTATGTAATTTTTCTGATCCTTTTTTGTAGTTTTTTGATTAACTAATAGTTAAAGTTAACATTTATTAAAGTAGAGGTAATAATATAGTACATTGAGAGGAAATGTTACACTAAAAATAAATTTAGAAATCACATTAGATATACTTGAACTTATAGTTTAATAGCAAATTTGTCATTTAATCCTAATTTAAATCTCATCACACTGCTGTGATGATCATTGAAATTAGACTCCTTGTAAATAATTAATGCAATGATTGCTCGATATTTTACTACGTATAGTTACACTAAACTCAAATTGAGATACTCACCAAGGAATGACCTGTATAGTGCAGCTTTTGTCTGGTTTGGTTATACACATATTCGACACAGGCTTTAAGATCATAGGAGACTAATTCATCCCATGACCATTCCCAATAAGCCTACAATTTTAGAATAAGAAATTAAAATGAATTAATTAAGAATTAAATGATAAAGCTCTTAAACTATTTAATAATTTTTAATTTTAAATATTTAAAATTGTGGCAATCACCACCTCACTATTAAAATTAAAAAAAAAAATTGTTAGCTACTTCAATAGTGTGGGGCTCAGATATTCTGACAAGTAATGCCATGCCCAAACATCTAGGCCCCACACTACTAAAGTAATAAACATTTTCTCAATTTTAATGATAAGGCAAGTCTAATTTGTCGTGGTTTTAAATGTTTAAAAATAAAAATGTATAAAAATTGAGTTTATAATTCTAAATGCTCATAGCCTATATAATTTAAAAGTCAAATTGCTATGTTACCAATGAATTAAAGAATCATGCAATATAATCATTATGAATAGTTTTTCGTTTTGAATTTAATATGTCATTATATTTAAATAAAAAGTACCTTATCACTGGGAGTGAGAGATGTATGGCCACTGCTATATCTAGTGCCACGAGTATTAGCAAGCCACACATCATACCCATTGTCGGCTAATATAAATCCCAATGATTCATCAGGAGAATTAAACAGCCATATCATAGCATCCTGAAAACCACATATTATTACTCAAAAATACGTCATAATTCAATAATTTACCTGCTCGTACAAATTCGACATTCTCAAACTTATAAATATTGTATTTTGTGGATGTTCATGAATTCTTTCAATTCGTGGCCTTTCATATCCTGTATTCCATAACTTCTCCAGTGAATGGTTTTAATAGTTTTTCCCAGTACTTATAAACTCAAAATTACATACTATATATTGATGTGAATTAATTTTATTATTTAATATTTTGTAACTCATGGTAGGGTTGGATGAAATTTAATTGTTTTTCCTTTCTCTTCAATTCTCTCTTGTATTATTGTAATGTTCTTTTATCTTGATCATTTCTTTTATATTTTGTTATTTTCATAACACGTTATGAGTATAATTTTCGTTATTTGTTTTATAAAGTTTTGATTGATGGTTTGAGCCTTACATGTGAAAAAAGCACATATGTCCTATGTTGAGTTCATAACAATCACACGATTATTTATTCGTATAAAAGTTCTTAACATTTTTCGATGTTTCCCAAAAGAACCTATTTCATTTTTTTCTAATGAAATTTTTGAAAAATGAATTTCATTAATTGATTAAACACGTCTCTTTCTTGATAATATCTGTCAATTCTTAACTTGCTGATCGTAACAAATACTCCTTTCGTTTTCAAATATAAGCACATATTAATATAATACTCACATAGTTTAATAAAGATGTTGGTTAAGCATAATAATTATATCTGTTAGTGAAAAAAAGCATAATAATTATGCCTAAAATTAAATAATTAGATTAAAATATTCTTTTAATTAATTTTAATTTTTTCTAATTTAATAATGCTACCCATTTATGAAAGGTAATATGGAGAACATATAATAAACGCTTTATGAATTTTTTAATTTCGTTTATTAAAAATAATGAAATATATGGTAGTTTCTCTTATAATAAAAAACAGAGAGAATATCATATAGTTATACTAATAAGAAAATCATTTTTATATAGTTAATTAAGTGTGATGATGAAGAAGTAATACCCATGATTTAAAAGAAAATTAAAGCATGAGATTTTGTTTGATCTGAAACAACTTACACTGAAGAGACCATGTTGTAGTAGAACAGGTGGCTTATCTGCTATTTTACCAGATTGCCCTGCTGGAATTCTCTGAAGGCTTAGAATGAAACCATCGTTTGTTGTAACCTGAATTATCAAATCATGCTCACGTATTGGAAAAGTTAGCTTCATAAACAATAATTGACTAAAAGGTCCCATTCTGTAACATTCATTTTGCCCCCGAAAAAAAATTCTGTAACATTAATTTTGTTTTCTAAAAGCATCAGGATTCGCCTTAATTAGACATGAGATATTTTGAAAAGGAAGAAAACTTATGTGAAACTTTTGGATACTTGCCATATTTGCTATTTGATTATTTAAAATATTGTGAATAAACACGTTTTATTGTACATACATGATTTGATGTTTAAAATGATTAAGTTACTCATTATTTTCAAAATATCGTGCAAGTCCTAAATTAAAAAAGTAAAAACTCGATCAATTTTACTCGTTAATTTTTCTAAAATTATGCATAACCCTATCTATTTTCAAACCATGCCCTATTCAAACATCCCATTAAGAGAATAGATTGCATTAACCTCTCCTTTGTTTTTGCTCAATAGAAACTCTTGCCAGAGATGTTTGAGCGTATTTTGAAAATATAGCTAGAGGAAAATCTATGTAAGTACCTTAAGTGAAAAATAATTTAAGGGACGTTTGTGCAATTTTCTTTTTGTTTTAAGATTGTTTTATGAAGGTTAACAAAACTACATGGAAAGTTTGCGTAATTTTAGTTTTAAATCAATAAAGGCTTGTATTGACTCTGAAAATAAATGAGCAATATTATACCTACATAAAACAATCTTAAAACAAAAAATATAATTAGGCAAACTTTCAATAAAGGCTACGGGTTGACCCATATTACCGGCTCTATATATCACTGGTATATGTTATATTAGTGTAAAACTTTATGAAATCTGTATAATTCTCTTCAAAAAGTATAAATATGTTATGTTTTTACTAAGAAATCTGATTATAAACATTAGATAACTTACCTAAATCTTTTCCTCTAAGATATAAAAAAAAAATCTATTTTGTTTTGATAATAACATGGGGCTTGTTATTTTAATTTGTACAACCTTAAGGGAAAAAAAAACCCATCTTTCTATTCTTTTTAATTCTACTCAAGCGCAAACAAACAGCTCTAATAATGGTAATTAATACTAATTACGTACCTTATGTTCTTCACATTTGTAGCCTTGTGTCTCCACCATTGATTTGCAGATACCATCACTATGATCACTTGGGAAAACTACTGGCAATTCATCTTTACCATTCATTGAGTAAAGAGATTTTCTTCCTTGTGCCTCTAAAATGCATACAAGAAATATTGAAAGCAAAGTTAATAAAATTTTCTTGGCCATATTTACCAAATGGTCTTGCCCAATTATGCAGAAACAAGAATGATGTAGCATTTTATATGCAATCCAAATATGAAGTATATTAAGGACCGAGTTGAAAATTATTGTGTATTTTACGGTTCAAACATTTTGAATTCAGACAAAGAATTAATTAGCGTTGATGGGTTCTTTTAAAACTTCCAAATTAAAGTATTTTTCACGTATGCTTTGGCTTGACGTGCCCGTTAGGTTTCAAATTTTTGTTTGGACGGTTCATTGATTGGATGATTGGAATATATTTGCATACTGCTTTGATTTTCCCACCAACCTTTGACCAGTAATTTGTGCTTGAAAATTGAACAATTAGAGGATATTATTTTTCTTATTTATTTGAACTTGATTCGATAAAAAATTTGTTCAAATAATTTATGTATTTTCTTATTTATTTACCCTTATCACTTTAATTTATGGAATTTCTTGTTCAATCACTTATTAAAATTCATAGAAAATGATTATTTCAAATTTAAATATAGTATATTGAACTTAAGAAAAACTTCGTGTGACAAATATCAAAACTTTCCTGATGTGAAAACTTTCTATCAAGTCTGTGAAAACTTTCTTCACGTATAATCCCTTGCTTAAACCAACTTCTGTACTTGATTATGACACAATTAATCACCTGGTCATGGAAGAATTATTGTCTCTCATGAAGGTTTAAAAAATGTATTTCATTTTTTATGCTCTGAAGAGTATCATAGCTTATAAATTGAAGAGAGCTAAGGTTATTGGGTTCAGTATTTTTCTATTTTATGTTTTTTATTTTCCTGTATTTTTTTAATCTGGAGTTCTATTGTCTTCCCTTGATTGCAATTACGTATGGTTCTTTTTGGATGTGTTAACTTTTAATTTCTGATTTCTTTTTCTCTTGACTTGAAGAGAATTAAGTAGAGATTTAATAAACATACCGGAGAAGTGCTCTTGATATACCAATCTCATACACACATCTTGATTAGTTGAGGAATTCAATTTTCTTTTCATTTTAAAAATATTTTAATTTAATAATCTATTTTTTGTCACTTTTCACAGGAGCATTGAATTCAAACTGAAATTTTTGCTGAGCTACCTATCATAGAACAACTGTTGCTTATAATACAATTTTCAAGCATTAATGAAGAACTATTAGCCTTAGTTTGGTAGATTAATTATGTTTCAGGTGCTTTAAGAGTCAAGGACCTCTTACAAAGAAGTGCAGGAAGGTGTGTCAATTGGGTTATCGATGGTGAAGAGGACATTGACATCTCATTACATATGCAGATGCTTATGAATAGGTAATTGGAGTGCTAACTAGTACAAAGCTTTATAACTCAAGGTCAGCTCACTTTATGCACACACACACACTAAACTTTGCTGCCCTTAAAAGGAGTTCTGTTTGCTTCTTTTATGCCTAGAAAACTTAAAATGCTGTATCACGATGGGCAAGGGCAAGGACAATAGCAGCTAATTAAGGTATTCAATTTTGGTATAAATTCAATCTTGGTATTCAATTTTGGTATTCAATCTTCTAATAAATTCAATTTTGGTATTCAATCTTCTAATAAATTCAATCTTTTGTAAACTACTTGTACAATGTGGTTCCTTTTGGCTCTCCATGTGTTTGAGAGAAGTACCCAATGTGGGTTTATTTCATAGTCAATCTATTATGTGCTCTCTATTATTAAAGATTTTTGTTTTCTAGATGGATCCTGAAGTTTTACTCCCTAAAACACCTTCAAGAATGAAAGCACGGTATTTGCAGACTCTTGGTACATCGAAGAAGAAAGAACTAGAACCTTTGAGAATATATAAATTGTGCTCTATATCTATATGATAAGTTTTTGATATATCAATATAAATATAAATTTAAATTTCAAAACTAGTCTGACTGTTCATAAGTCTAATAATATGATTAATTTTTTTATTATTATTATGCAAGGAAAATGTGTTAGCTTTAATAAACTTAGTGAGTGAATTCTGTAACTAACACGCCTACCTCCCCAAAATTTCCATATAATGCAATAGTTGATAAGATACGTGTAATTTTTACAATATAACTAGAAAAATAAATTTACATGTAATTTATTATAATAAAGATAAAGATTATGTAGATTCTTGCTTTTGTCCTTTTCATTTCCATCACATAAATCTAACAAAATCATGTATTCTATCATGTCCTCTTAGTGAGGAAATAGTTGCTGGAACTTCAATCTTTATAATATGAAAGCTCAGACTCCATTTGTGCCTAAGATGCCCTATCTTTTCTTTCACATGATCAAAGTGGGACGCTATCTTTAATGATCCAAATTATAAATTCACTCTTTAAAAATCTCATCTACTATCACTAGGGCACAATTGGGGTTTTGAATTTGTGTATATGGTTTAAGTGTTGGCCATCCTTTTCACAATTACACCCTCTAATAGTTTCTTTTAGCAGAATTTGTGTGCTTGTATGACCCTAGCTTATGCCGTTGAAATTGGTCGAGAAGAATACCAATCTATAGGACTCTCAACTATAAGTCTTATTTACTATGATCTACAATCAGTTCTTATTTGCACAATTTCTTCATCACAATTTGTTAGCGTGATTTGTTTTCAAGTCAATGGTGTATTGCACAATGTCCCATTCCTTTTTATAGTACTTGGTTAGCTTTTTTTGTGTGCACATGGTAATCACTTACACTGTTTGTCCTTGCACGAGAGAATGTGTTACTACAAGTAGAGGGTGAATTTCGAAGGCTTAGCAATTATGGTGGTGCTGAGGTGGGAATATTACGTCTCAATATCACCTTTTCCATCTTCTATAGGTTAATTTTTATGCTTATTTATTCATTGGCCATTTCTATTTAGATTGGTCCTTTCCATGGATCCCATTATGGTAAGACAAGGGTTAAAGTTAGAGTTCAATTAAATCTGCATGGCATTGTCAGTATTGAATAAGAAGTAAGAAAGAAGCCTTATTTTCTTCTATGTCCACTTTATGCTATTGTCAAAGCTATTGTGATATAAACTTTTTCATGGTTTTAGTTGATTGAAGATCAAGTTGATGATGGAAAGGGTAATGATCTTTCAAATGCTGAATCTATGGAATATGGATGTTAAGCATCGCACTGATGACAAGGCAGAAACAAATGGTGTTGAAGATAGTGATAATAGAAATGATGAATTTCCACACAAAATTTGCAAGCAATATTGTCACCTCTCACTCCCCCTGGTCAAGAGCAAGTTTATTTCTCTTGTATGAGAATTATACAATCAAGTATTTTTGTCTCCCATTCATTTATTATTCTATTTCTTAATACTATTATATCTCTATTATCGACTGATTTTCACAATTTTATGGATAGCATGTCTATGTTTTTCTCTTTTTGGAGATGAATTGGTCATAGATCTCATTCATATAGATGCCAGAACTTTGAAGCGAGATAAATCTTAATTCATTATAGGCTTGAGAAACAAAGATAAAATGTGAATAAATAAAATATCTAAAAAGAAGAAAAATGATTGAATGGAAGAACTCTAAAATTTAGTTATCTCAAATGTGTTGATGTCAATGGTATCAATGATATTTGCTTCAAATTCTTTAATTCCAACCTGTGTAATGCATAGGAAACTGTCTAGTTTTATATATAATCCAATTGTGAAGTATATTAAGGACCGAGTTGAAAATTATTGTCTATTTTACGGTTCAAACATGTTTGAATTCAAACAAAGAATTAACGTTGATGGGTTCTTTTAAAACTTCCAAATTAAAGTATTTCTCATGTGTGCTTTGGCTTGACGTGCCCGTTAGGTTTCAAATTTTTGTTTGGACGGTTCATTGATGGGATGATTGGAATATATTTGCATACTGCTTTGATTTTCCCACCAACCTTTGACCAGTAAGTTGTGCTTGAAAATTGAACAATTAGAGGATATTATTTTTCTTATTTATTTGAACTTGATTCGATAAAAAATTTGTTCAAATAATTTATGTATTTTCTTATTTATTTACTCTTATCACTTTAATTTATGGAATTGCTTGTTCAATCACTTAATCACTTATTAAAATTCATAGAAAATAATTATTTAAAATTTAAATATAGTATATTGTACTTAAGAAACACTTCGTATGACAAATATCAAATTTATACGAAATAGTAATAAAACAAAATTCAAGGGATAAAATTCCAGATTGGGACCAATTTGATATTACTGAAACTAGATCAACATAATGGAGGAGCCATGCAAATCCACAATATAGTCATTTTGCAATGAAGTCCCTATGTTTACAAGTCAGTCCCTTTTTTCATTCTTAAATATTTGGATTCCTCTTAGTTCACCATCAAGGTCTTTAAATCGCTCAAGACCACTGTCCTAAAAGCCACTATAGAACATGTTTGATTACTTGTTTTTAGAACAATTTTCTTCTGAAAAATTTTTATAATTTTTTTTTGAAAATGTGTTTTTTGTTATATGAAAAAACAAAAAAGTTAAAAGTGAAGAATTAGAAAACCATAACATTTTTTAAATGTTTTATTACTTTTTGTTTTGCAAAACTAGAAAAAAGACAAACAAAATATCATACTTTTATTAATGACAATTATGTTAACAAAATAAATTATTATTTTATCCTTTATTTCACCAATTTAAATGTTTTCAAAAGAATGATTCAAATTTTTTTATTTCTAAAACTTGTTCCGAGAAACAATTTCATAGAATTATTTTAGGGAAAATGATAGTTAGGTTCAAATTAGGTCCCCCAACCAATTTCAAAGTGCAAATTTTAACATAGTTGAAGAATAAATAAATTTGTTTTTCCTATTAAAATTTGGAGCATATGTTGTAAATTCATCACAATGAAGTTGTAAAATTGAAAGTCAAACTAACAAATTCCTGAAGTTTGGCACTTTGAAATTGGTCAAAATTTAATTTAAATTAATTAGTTTCCTTGGGACCCATCTGTCATTCTCCCATTGTTTTAAGAACATTAAAAAAAAAAAAAAAAGAACCAAACAAACCCATAGTGACCAAAAGTCTAGGTGTAAAACATGGGATGTTACGGCTATGAAAGACGAGCTTTTGCACAGGCATTGGTCCAAACATGGAAACAAACATAATATTATTAGGCGCTAATTACAACTTGAAATTAACTGTATCACCAAAGCTAAACCGCATTATGTATTAAACTGAATCCAATCACTTAACATTACTTGAAACAAATTGAAACCACTGGCTTTGAGGATTGTCCATACATGAAGAATTGGAATCCGCACAAATGCATTTTGCAGTCAAGATGGTTGACGAGTTAGCATCTTTTTGCAAGCATAATTGGTTGCCTTGTGCATCTACGGTAGCCCAGTGCATGCCAGACTCTGTTATGGGTTTCCATGACGTTTGGTTTGTATTAGAGCAATCTTTTGTGAGCAACACTGGATTCCCATCTCCATTTGCCTTCAAACACTTAACTTTCCGTCTGCTCTGAAATTTGATCTGTGTCCCATTTAGACTCCACCCACTCACCCTTTTACATTCATTCACTTCCACTTGATCACCAAGCTTCCTACTTTTCATGCATTGACCAGTTTGTGGATGATAAAATATGCTTGACATGGCCTCCTTTGAGCTTGGATCTTTGATAGAGAAAATAGTTCAATTAAAAAAACTAAATAAGAATAATTATCTCCAAGTTGAAAGGGATATGCATATGAACAAATTTATATTTCATCTATTTAATATTATAAGACATTTTTAATTGAATCTCTCCCAAATGAATTAATTAAATGCCTTTAAAATTACAAACTATTTCCATATTTACCCTTTTTTAATAGTATATCTCAATTAGACATTGAAAGACCAAAATGCCTTATTTTTTTTAACAAACTAAATTATATGATAAAGAAATAGTTCAACAAGAAACTAAAAAAGGATAATTATCTTCAAGCTTGAGGATGATATGGATATGATAAAAAATAGGCTAAAGTATAACTTAAGTTTTTTTATTTTACACAACATTTCATTTTAATCCTATAATTTTATAAAATGTCTTTCTCATTTAGCCTAACACCATTAGTTTCATCACAAAATCTTTTTACATTTAACTTTTAAATATTGGCAAAACATTTTCAAATGTTGACATATTAAGTTTTTTTTAAATAATAATGATTGACACAATAAATAATTATTTGAAGCTACTTGATGTTAGAGTTAGAGAACTAAAAAAAAATACTTTATAAAATTAAAGGATCAAATTAAAACTTTAAATAAAGTTAGATGATCAAAAGTATGACAATAAATAGTTATCCTGGTAGCAACGCCACCTCTCTCTCTTGGAAGAGGTTTATGGTTCGAACCCAAAAATATATGTTAACCTCTCTATATATATATATATATATATGCACACACCTTGAAGTGTTTTGAGTACTAGCTGGAATCTGTTAGGGAACTCTGGGTAACTAGGTTTCTTCCATTGGAAGTCTACCAAACCATAAGACTCTCCTGGGTTGACATTGCCTTCTCTGAGATAATAACTACCTTGGAGTCCCCACCAACCCCAACCTAAGTCATTCACAGCAAGGTACGCTAAAACACAAGTCAACCATCTTTCATCAGGTTCTGTTCTATTTGGTGACAATGGAATCCCATATTCAGTCATCAAAAGAGGAGCAGGATTAGAGCTAGTTGTTAGAAACCCAGCATGAGAGTTTAACTCATTGTTCACTTTCCCACAAAGATAGTTCGCTGATTGGTTGCTCCAATTTTTAGGCTCACCTGAAACAGTGTAAGCATGTACCTCGTATGCCAACTTATCCTTAAAAGTTAGGTTCAATGGCTTGTCCTTTAAAAAGCTCAGGTCATTGTCGTTGTAGAAACCTGAAATGAGGACTACCACGTTTGGGTTCCCTTGATGAACAGTTTGTGCTCCTTGGGTCATATTCCCATACCAAGAATTAGTGTTTTGAAGTGGACCTCGTAGCTCATTTCTCAAGCTCATTACCACCACCTAAATTACAAAATTTACATGAATTAGGAATATTCACAATTGAGTTACACGAAATCAATTTCAGTGCTCATCATCTCTGTAAGCACCACCGTGCTTATCAGAGGTGATGAGATCTAGACTATCTTGGTTAAAATCTGAACAGTCTAGATCTGAAGTCTATGACAAAATAGCAAGTATCCCTTACTATATAATGCGGGAAAGCTGTGATATCTTCAAAAGATAATTTTCTTGTATATCTTTTTGTTTAATTTGATGGATTGTCCATGATCAATTTTGTTTTTACAATAGTTAAACTACTAAAAATTGGGCAATTATGGTCATTTAAATAAAAAAAACGAAGGGTTTGATAAAAGATTATCACATCCTCTACGGACGAGAGTTTTAATTCCTACAAGTTATTGAAAGTCTTGTTTGTTAGGCCTTCCTCTCAACACAATCCATCTTAACTCATGGATAAGATTTTTTCGTGATTTTGGCTTGTCCACTAAATCCTTAATCTACAGAAGCTAGGAGATGAACCTCACGTTCAAGCCAAAGGAATTTGCAATGTAAATGGCAACCACAACAACTGAATTGGGCGAGAATGAAAGGAAATCCTATTTGAAATACTATCAGGCATTAAATGTAGGCATCCTTTGTAACATGGCAAATTTTGGACCTAGAAGATCAAGAATATCCTTGAATTCAGTCCCAAAGGTTCCCTGAAATGGTGCTCATGAATTAAATCATAATTTAAAATTTTTTCTAAAGTAAAAGCGTAATATTTTCAGGGATTTTAAGAAAATGTTTGTCTATAATTGAGGAATGAACAAATTAAATGTAGACCATACTAAAAATTTTAAATCTAAATGATCATTTCATCACCTGATGAGCACCAAGGCATAGTGCTCATGAGGTGGGTGATAAGCACCAAAACCATACATGAGTTATGCGTACAAATACATGCACAAACTAAATCTATACGTACGATTAGTATATAACTCACATTGGGTTTGTCCTTCAATAACTGAGCGGCCATGGAAAGCCCTTGAAGCCATTCTTTGGGATCAAAACTGGTGTCTCCAAAGAAAGCATTACCATCATCAGGGGCACAACACCACTTAGGTTCACTGATATGGTTATCAGAAATGATCATTATGTTCTGAGCAGCAAGCTGATCCACGACATAAACATAAGCTTGAGGGTGAGTCATAGTGAGAACATCGTGGTTGTGTTCAGTGATGCCAGCTTTAGTATTTGCCAAACCAAGTGAATCAAGAGTTTGTTGAACAGTGTTGTTGGAGTAACGAGTGAACATGTAAGTGGCCCATGTGAGGCGCACGCAATTCAACTTCAGATTGTGCAATTGTAATATAATATGCTTTATGGGTTGCTTGTCTAATCCTTCTGCCAACATGACACTCATATGAGATGGCCAATTCGCGCACTGTAACTTCACATGTTGTCCTGTTTTAGAATCCACGATCCATCTGTTACTTACTGAGAGTGGAAGGCAACATATTTGGGAGGCTAATAAAGACAATAGAGAAATTGAAACGAGAAAAATCACTTGTGAATGATTTGCCATTCTTGTAGGTACAATAGGGTTTTTATTAAATTTTCTCAATATATAGCCTTTTGTTTTGTTTGCTTTTTTTTTTTTGGGTAATTTCTCATTCTGGGGTTATAAGCACTAGTTTGATATGAGGATATACAATACAGAGGTGAGCTGGAGATCTAAAGTGAGGATAAAAACATCTAGGTTGAAGGAGAAAATTAACACCAGAATAGAAAGGAATTAAGGAATGAAGTTGAAAATTATAACTCTCCAAAGAGGAAAACAACCAATTTAAATAATGATCTTAGTGCTAATAATAATTTCTCGTCATCACCTTGATTTATATTGCCATATTTATAATATTGTTCGTTTTCATATTATGGTGATCCTTATAAGGGGGAATTGCATGAACCTAATAATTCTCAAGCGCATGCATGTTTGACCAAAAGCTACGAGAGAGAAGCTTTTGAATTGGCATTAGTCCAAACACAAAAATAAACATACTATTATTAGGATTATAATTGCAAATTAATTGTATTGCTATAGCAAAATCCGAGTCCTTTGGCAAGAAATTAACCGATCTTTGAATTAATTCCAATGCAATATTAATTAACCTTAATCCAATCATTTCACATAGATTGAAACAAATTGAAACCACTCGCTCTAAGAATTATCCATACATGAAGGATTAGAATCTACGTAGCATTTAATGGTCAAGATAGTGGACAAGCTACTTACTTTTGTAAGAATAACTGATTGTCGTGTGCATCTATAATAGCCCATGGGTCCCAGACTCTATAGTGGCTTTCCATGAACTTTGGTTTGTATTAGAGCAATCTATTGTGAACTACATTCCCTTCCCCATTTGCCTTTAAACGCTCAACTTTTTGTCCATTTAACAATTTAATTTGTGTTCCCTATAGACTCTACATGCTCATACCCTATTTCATACATGAAACTCGCACTTGATAATTGTGATTTCTATTTTTCATGGATTGACTAGATTGTAAATGATATGGTATGTTTGACATGCCAACCTTTGAGCTTGGCTCGCTCTTTGATGAAGAAACAAGGGTTAAGCTACATTTTTATCTTTAAATTATTCTCCAAGGAACATCCAATGTTCTAAATTATTTGTTAAAATAATTCTGCCCTTAAAGTAATTAAAACATAACATATTTACTCCTGATGCTAAATACACCAACATTGACTATTAAAAAATGCTATCTGGGACTTATGTTTGACAAAAAATGCCACTTATCATGCTAAGTGGATCCAAATTAAGGTGTATTTTTGCTACTTTTTTAATTACTTTAGGGGCAAAGAGCAAATAGTTTAGGACACTAGGATCTACTAAGAATATTCCAAGGACAAAAATGCATCTTAGCTTAGATTCACTTGGCATGACAAGTGGCACTTTTGGTCAAACTTAAGTCCCATTTAGCATTTTTAAAAATTAACGTTGGGGTATTTAACGTCAAGAGAAATATGCTACGTTTTAATTACTTTAGGCATGGAATTGCAAATGACAAATAGTTTAGAATACTAGGTATTCCTCGGAGAATAGTTAGGAATAAAAAACACACCCTTACCCAAAGATACAATGTTAATAACAAACGAAAAAAAATAATTTTGGTGGTGAATTTTGGTCGTTAAAAAAAAGTCACCACCAAAAGTCACCCCCAAAAATGAATTGGCAATGTTTAATAGTCACACCATCATGATATGACTTTGTTTTTTTGGTAATGAAAAAGTTTATTGAGTTAGGTCCTGAGAGCTCATTAAGACTAGGGCATGGAGATACTTATAAATCACACACTAATAAAGTTCTTATATCAGCATCGATATTGATTCAAATAACCTTGTAAGTTATGGGCCATTCTTTACCAATTAGATGAACCTTTGTTGGTTGATATGACTTTTTTGACCAACAAGTTATATGACTTACCTAAAGGTAAGGATTGGGTATTGGAAGTATTATTAGTCATAATATGACTAAAAATAAAATAAAACGAGTTATATATTATAACTAAACAAAAACTATTCAAAGTAAGCTTTATTGTTTTCCCTTATATTCTTCTTAACTTAAATATATTATAATTAAATGATTATAAATGTAGTGTTATTAAAAGATATATTTCATAGAGAAATGACAATTGCAGACCTTATAAAGAGACATTAGGACAATGAATCAAACTGTTGAAATAGTATTAAAAGACTTTTAATTATTGAAATAACTAATGGAAGGTCACTCATAAATTTAAAGAAAGTTAGACGTGAATTCATAGAAAGTCAATAGTGAAAAGATAAGTAGTCTCATAAATATATGCATCATCACTTGCAAATTAAAGGATAATCACTTT